GAGACTCTGCTGTCACCATCCAGCAGAACAGCCACTGGGCCACCACAGCCTCTGGCTCTGCAGAACACATATCTCTGTGACCCTCTCCAGAACTCGGTATTCTGCAGGCTCTTCTCCAAATCAAAGTTGTACACAGTATATCTGAAGAGGCTTGGCTGATGCCTGTGTCCACCTGCAGAGGAATTTTGAAAAGTGAGTTTTGGACTCCTTTCTGGGGTAGTGGGGTTCATAAACTTGGAAATTTAAACTTAGGGAGATGACTGGGAAAGTGGCAGGCAGATGGTGTGACAAATATCCTCTGCAATGTGCTGGCATTGGCAGGCCCAGACAGCATTCACGAGCATGTGAACAAAGACAGACAAAGGACTAGATGTACACTCGGAGAATCACTTCCCTCTTCCCTGAAATCTCACTCATACTTGTAGCCTCCTGTTTCCCCTGCACCTCATGGGAGGGAGGTTGGAAGCAAAAGTGTTTGTGAGAATTCAGGCTGAGATACTCGTTCCTGGTGTCCCCATCACTCACTTAAACCCTTAGTTTTCTCCCATTTCCTTACTGTAATCTGGCAATAACATGACTGCTCTGGCCCATGGGATGTTCTCTGGACTCATTAGGTCTGAAAATGTTTGGGAAATGCATCTGTGAAGGTCTGCAGCTAACTGTCATTATCTTCAGCTTACAGATACTCTCTCAGGTGGCAGCATATTTTCAAGGTCTCAAGTCTTGGCCCTAGCCCATCCTTCATTTCCAGTTTACCTAGCTTGACTAGGGTCTCAGTGGAAGACACAGAAACTCAACATCATTGTTTTGTTTATCTCTTTTTCATAGATTACTAAGGGCCCAGCGATCCAGCACAAGGCAATGTGCTGTGAAATGAGCAGTGAATTCCCTCAGAGCATTTCCTCCTCTGAACTGACCTAGCTTTAACCCACTGAAGCTTTTCTCCTACAGCTTCTGAGAAGGGTGTGCTGGACTGAGATGGCAAAGCTATTTACACTAAATAACATGGACTTCCTGTGCTTTGCTTAGGTTTGCAATTCCTCTCTCGCTCTCTCTCTCTCTCTCTCTCTCGTATATGCATATGTACAACTTCTCTGTTCCTTCTTTTATAATTATGAATTGATTGACATAGGAGACCAGGATCTATATCTGTCTTCCTCTCAAAAAAAAAGGCGTAGAAGGAGTTAATGAATATTTTTAAAAATAACTTCTATTTTTACGCATTAGGCTTCCTTTGTTCTTTCTTTCCTTCCTTCCTCTCCCCTCCCTTCCCTCTCTCTCATTTATCTCCTCTTTGTTTCCCTTTGTCTCATTCAAACTATTTTCTGTCTCTCCCACCTCTAGAGTTGTGTGACTTTTTTCTTTGAGCTTTTCTCCTTACTGCTTCTGTTTCTATGAGTTGAATCTGAGTCACTAGGATAAGTGTAACACCATTTTCTCTGTAGATTGCACAAGTTTACTGTTCTATAAATGGGAGCATTTTGTAGAAAAACATATGAATCCAATTTTACAGGTAAATTAGTGTAGTCCCCTATACAGTTGTATACAGTGAACATAAGCCCCTGTCAAATGAGCGAGTGGGGACAGAAATCCAGCCCATGCTTCTTTTTTCAAGACATGTCTCCTAGGCCATGGTTGCATCCACTGAAGCAAAAGGCATGTATTATAATTGGTGACTAATCATAGCTTGGTCCTAGCAACCAATCAAGCACATACAAATAGGCACTGCATAATTTGTTACCACAGCATATTACCAGAGGTCATTTAAATATACATTTAAATGCACCTCCAATAGTGCACCTTCCAAAATTCCTATCACAAGCAAGTTGGTGACCTGTAACCATGGTTCTATGAATTCACCCTATCACATTTCTTCATATGGTAGTTGGGGCTTCTACAGAAACAATGTAATAAGAGATGATTATATCCTAAGAGTGATATCATAATAATTATTCAATCAAACTGTTGAAATTTGTTTATTATAAAAGGAAGATATGAAAACCTTTTTTTCTGTACTTAAACAAACATAAAATCAATAATCCCAAGTAAGAGGTTATTTTGGAAGGGTTATGTAACTTGAAGGAGCCTGGTGCTCAAGAATAGCAAGCTGAATTAGAGGAGGAGGAAGCAATGGAATCTTCTCTGGGGATGCTTAGAGGTCTGAAGTCCTGGTAAACTTCAGAAGATGCCCACAATGGTACTTCGCTTAATCTAATTTCATTCTAAACCTCTGGGTAACTAATCCTCTAGAACTATTCGTATGTTTATTAGACTTAATCCAGTTTGGCTCTTGGCTTATAAATGAGACCAAGAGAGGAGAAGGGAGAACAGTTTTCTAATGAGGTAATGGGCAAGTGTTGGAAGAAACCAGCAAGAAGATTAACGTACATGCCTCATCACGTGAGAAGGAAAGTGGCTGGTGTGGAACCAGCTGAGGCAGAAGCAGTGAGTGTGTGCGCCGCTCATCAAGTTCTTAGGTGGGAGATCAGGTAAGGCCTGTAGAACGTGCTAGAATAGGAAAAGGATGGGGAGCAACATCCTGGAGCTTCTATTCTTGAAAGGATCATTCTCTAGATGTTGTCTTTGTCAGAGATCAAGAATAGACTATGACAATGGTCCAAAGTGGTAGCAAATGAAGTGATGAGAAGTGGTCATATTCTGGACTTTTTTTATAGGCAGAATGGTCCAAATTACTGGCACTTTCAGCCTGATGGATTGATTGACCATAGAAGCATCAAAGTTTAAGAGGAAGCTCCTTGGCCTGGGTATATGTATGGGCAATGTAGGGTGCGTCTTTAACTTTGGGGTCTGTTGCTCTCTCAATTCTAGTGAAATAACTGCAGCAGGCCAGACAAAGGAGACAGAGGAGACAACTGGCCTCTGGATCTGGGTAGCCATTGATATGATGGCTGTCGTTAAACAAATACTTGTTATCAAGGCACAATGCTGAGTCTTGAGAAGAACATTTCCCAGCTCATAAAGGTTACAATCTACCAGATCGCTTTCTTGAGATGAGTAGAATTTTCCAACATGGAAAACTTATCTCACTTCCATTCAATTTTTTATAATGTCACCCTCTTGTCAAAAGTTTCCCTTCCTTGAGGACTGTTTGTTTGTTCTATTAGGGAACACAACTAGCCTGTTTAATGCACTTCCATATACGGTACCTGTCTCTTTAATGGTCTGTGTTTCTCTAATCCACTTTCACTTGGGTCCCCAGGCTGTCTTCTTCATGAGGGCTCCTTGGTTTTCCACCTTGGATTTCTAGGCCCTTTACTAAGACAGCTTTTCTGTAATAGCATGGTGCTAGAATATGCTTTCTATATGCCTCACACACCTCACTTACTACACTGCAGATTCCTTGAGTTCGAACCTCACCTGCCCATCTTTACTTTGTCCATGGCACCTAGCACATCATTGATAATCAGGAAGTGACAAAAGGAAGAAAGGATACACTTACCCAAGGGAAAGAAAGCAAAAATACAAGTGCAAGGACCAGGCAGTTCAATAGGTATAGAAAGTAAGAGAATTCAGAGAAAAGATAGAGCAGGAGTAGTGCTGGCATGGAGAGATCAGGCAGAGAAAGAACACGTGTTCATGCAGAGATTGGCAGAGATGCCTGGACAGTGACTCTGCAAGGACAGGGCACCAGCAGCAGAATAGGGCTTTGTGTTAGGAGCCAAGGGCAGTTTGCAGCCCAATTAGCTGCTGTTTCTCTTGGGTGAATTAGTTATCCAAGCCATCACTACTTCTCAGGGCCTCGGGGCAGGGAACAGAAATGGCTCCAGGTTTTACACACTGGCAAGGCTAAAGGAGCAGGCAACAGAGTGCAGCTTTCAAGCCAGACTCTGTCAGTGGCATCCAGAGAGCAGCCTGCTGCTGCTATTGCAATCACCCCCTGTGCTGTCCCTGCTGCTTTGCCTTGCAGGGCAGGAGCTGTGGCCTGTTCTCCCCATAATCACATCTCCTGGCCTTGCTCGGCCAGAAGACAGCTTCTGCTTCTCCTCTGCCCTCCAAATCTCAGGCAAGGGGAGCCCCTCGACCCCCTAAAATTATTATTTTTTTCAATCCTGAAGCAGAGCTCCAGCAGTGATGAGGCCTGCTAGAGCCACTTCCAGCTTTCCAACCTCTCCATGTAGAAAGAGAGAGACAGGGCTGAGCCATGGCATCTCAGTGGCTGCTGAAGGGTGACAGCCCCTCCTGTGTTCCTCCCTACTGGGTAGAGCTGGGTGCACCTGGAGCTGCCACTAAGAATGAACTCCTCCAGGAAGCCTTTCCTGTCTCCCTCCTCAGAAATCTCAGAGCCTATCCCTGCTCCTTTGCAATTCCCTAGCTCTGTTCTTAACTATGCTAGTTGTTACATTATCTTGTGTTTTATGAGAGAATTGAGAATGCATTGCTGTGATTCTCTCTCAGATTGCACATTCCTCAAAACATAAAAAGGGTTGGAATAGGTTGTAGTCACAGAAAGTACTCTATTATTTTTGTTTCAGTTTATCTCTTTGCTAAATCCTAGTGATACTGTGGGTGCTCAATCTCTGCTTAATGAATAGATTCATTTATTTATCTCAATGTTCTGTTTTATTAGGCAGTAACTCCTTCTAGGGTCCACTCCCCAACTGTTCTAGTCTGTTCAAACATCTATAACAAAACATCGTAAACTGGAAGGCTTAAAAACAACAGAAATGTATTTCTCACAGTTCTGGAGGCCCAGGATTAGGGCACTGGCATGATTGGAATCTGGTGCAGGCCCTTTTATGGGTTGCAGACTGCCATTTCCTTGATGCACCCGCATGGAATGAAAAGGGGGTGAAAGAGCTCTCCCGGATCCCTTTTTAAAGTCATTAATCCACCTCACGAGTGCTCCATCTTCAAGTCCTAATCACTGCCCAAAGCCTACCTCTTAATCACATTGGGAGTTAGATTTCAGCATGGAAATTTGAGATGGATACAATGTTTGGCTCATAGCACCAATACATGCACAAACACACACACACACTCTCACATATGTGCACACACATTCACAGACTCCCATGGCATCATTCCTCCTGCCCTCAATTACATGTTTTTGGGGAAATAGGGCAATCTCTATCAACAAAAAAAGTGGAGACATCTGTTTTGGTGAAATTTGATGTTTAATTATCACTAGGTAACCAAAAAGTTATCAGACCACACTATTCCAAGGAATGACTATGTCTAAGACGCCGGGGTTTGGTTCACTGATTAGAATCTACACTCAGCACTGTGCCGTACTCTGTGTTTTGGGGAGTGTTGCTGAGGATTAATGAGGATTGACTGAGCTCAACACCCATTCCTTTGTCTCACAGCAAAACCTGGATTTGGCTGCTATGATTTCTGATTAGTTGCCATTCCACACTTTTATATAACTGCTTTCTTTATCCTTAAATAGGTATGAATACCGTAAGTGGTATGAATAAGGCACGCTCTGAAGGTTCACTTATCTTGGCACAGGCTTTCTTCTCATTATTTTGGGGTGTGGCTTCCTAGGACAGTCTTCAAGTCATCCTCACAGGGTGAGGAAAGCAAAGAGAGGCTGGGAGGAGCAGGATTGCCTTTCTGTTGGGCAAGTCTGTGATCATGGGCTTGTGTGTCAGGACCTTTGCACAGCTGCTTGTCCAGAGGAAGCGGCGTGGGCTCCGTTTGCTTACAAGTATTTTCTCAGTGTGATAAGATGCAATAAAATATCCTGGACACCTGGATTTGGAGGCCAAGCCCAGTCAACTGGATCGTTATCTCTCTGGCCAAGGAATCTGACTTGTCGGTGTGTTAGTTCCAGCTGGAGGCAGGCATCAGCTGTGTTCATGGTCTCCTGATACTGACTCTTTCTGATAATCAACAAGTCTAGAGCAAGATGAGCCTATGGGGAAGGGCTGCTTTGTGGACAAGGCTTGCCTTTGGAAGAGCCTGTGTCCGAGTGGGGAAGGTGGCAGCAGTGAGGTCCAGACAAGTCTCCGGCGTTCCCCAGCAAGCCAAACGCTTTTCCTACCTCTCCTCTTCTCCTCGGTGATACCCTCTCATTTGGCCTCTCATCACAATGCAAATGTCTGGGCAGGGGGGCTTTGGCATCTTCATTCTCTCTTGTTCCCTTCAAGTTTTGAAGTTTCTCCAGGGCCTTTCTGGAGTGAGCATTTACTTCCTTGGCTGAAAAAGAACACAGCTTCCTAGGAGCCAAGTGAGACCCGTGTTAGGGATACTAAGGAGGGCACAAGATGGAGAGAGGGCCTTTCCTTTGAGAACTCAGTCCCATGGCAACCTAGCAGGATGTCTCTGCTCTGAGCTGCCCTTCTCTGGCAGAGCTTCTGTACTTTTTGCTTTGAATTATTCATCAGTTCTTGCAGAGAAGCAAAAGACAGAGTCATTTCAGCTCTTCCAGAACTGACTGTCCTACTCTTTGACCTCAAGAGATCTTAAAATTCACCAGGAGCTCTTTGGAAGGGGGCGGTAAAGGGCTCTATCATCCTTCTTCCCCTTTGAAAATGGCCCAGTCTTGCTGAGTAGGGATCTTTGAGGAATAGACAGTGTCCCAGATGTACCACTGAACAGCCTTTAGAACTTGACAAGTACCAGAGATCAGGTCATAATTCTTGTCATGACCTGGTCCACCTTCAGTATCCAAACTTTCCTTCCTGACAATCTCCACTCTCCTGGTTCTTGGCAGCCCAACTTCACCTAAGAAAAGAAAAATGGAGAAGAAGCAACAAGAATTTTCTCCCCTCACCACTGAACTTAAGCCGCTACTAATCCCACACCACTTTCTTTCAACCCAAGGCCTTGAATCCTACTGTGCCAGGGAAATATAATCCAACAGTGGGAGGCTGTTTTAATCTCACACCCTTGCCTTGCTCTATCTCCCTTCCAGACTCAAGAAATCTTTCCTCTTAAAACATTGCTGTCTCTAAATATGCTTGGATCTTCTCCCTCTGCCTGAAAATGCTGCCCCTTCACTAATATCTCACTGGCTTGTATGCAGTCCTCTTAAAGAGAGACAGTGTGGTGTGGTGGATAAGGAGGAGCAGCCTGGGAATTAATGCAGCTGGTGCCACCCACCATCTGGGTGGCCTGGGCAGTAGTAAAGGGCTGCCCAAGGAGTAGGAGGCATTAGTAACCTCTAGCAATCTGAGATCGAACAGTGCCCAGAAACCTCACTAATAGGTGCACATTACCAAGATAGTGAAACATAAACCAAATTCTGCCAAAAATACAAATATCTATTGGTAAGCAAACACAAGCTATCACTCAGAATCTGTTTTTATAAGCTTGATTTCCCTCCTCTCTGTCATCAAGCATTCCAGAACACACCTTTCATGTAAGAGCCACTTCAAGAAAGATAGAACGATGTAATGGAGTCAGAACCAGTCCAGCCAGACTGGGGAAAAGTGATGGGGTGGCTCCTGTAGGTTGTGGATTCCTGATTGGTAGACTTCAAATGTTAATTACCCACTCCAAGGGCTAAAGTTAAACTATATATATGAAGGTGATGATACTGAGGTTTAAGCCAAAATATCTTAAAGTAAATTAGCATGCAGAATAACAGTAAATGAATTCGCTTCCTTGTGCTTCAGTTTCTTTATTCTAAAAAATTGCAATAATACTGGTCTCTATTTTATAGGGCTGTTGGAAGGATTAAATGAGCTAGTTAATATATAGAAAGCATTTTAAATAGTGGTAGGCACATCATAAACACTTCATAAATTTATTCTTTTTGTTCTCTGAACTTACTCACACCACTCATCTATAGAACTCTTCCTTAGACCTTTCTTAACTTTCCATTGATGTATACCTTCTTTGCTGATAAACTTCAAAGACTACACTTTATGTCTCCACATAAACAACTTGAGTCCAATGTTCTACTTACTACTACATTTTCATCTTAATTTTTCAAACATTTATTAAGTTCTTATAAGAAGTGCTAGCCTCTTGAACTAGGTGCTGGAGAGTCTTTCAGGAAATACATAGATGTCCTCTGATTTCTGATTAAGTTGGTCTCTGATTTCCAAGAGTTTTCTAACTTTACAATGATGTAAAAGCTGATTTGGTAGAAGATGTACTTCAAATTTCTATCTTTGATCTTCCCCAGGCCTGGTGATAGGATATGTGGTCCTAAACATGTATCCTTATTTTTTAAAAATATAGCAAAACAGGCCAGGGATTTAGCTCAGTGTTTCTGCCACCTGTCTCACAAGCGCAAGGAGCTGAGTTCGATCCCCAGTATCAAAAAATAAAAGTTAAAAAAATTTAAAAAATAAAAATATAGCAAAAGATTTATTGGTAAATTTTAGGCATACATAATGGTAACATTCATCATAGGGAATTTTCACTTGTACATGTATCTTTAATAAATTGAATTTTAAACAAACATGGGTTAAAACAGTAAAAAGTAACCCATTGAAAGATTTTGTTTTAATATGAAACTTGCCTTGAATTAGAGCAAACAATGGCTTTATACTCTCACTTTGGAATACCAAGTTCTGCCCTCTGAATCCTTATAATACTGTCTTGGGCATAAATCTTGTTTCTCTAACAAGACTATAGCTCATGTGTGGTATGGAGTGTGTCATTCATTTCTGCTATGTCCCTCAGGGATAGGTGCACAGTAGATAGATCTTTTATCAACTGGGTGTGAGACTTTGGACAGCTCACAGTATCCTTCTTCCTCTGCCATCTGAAAAGGAGTGCTCAAGCCATCTTGGCAGAGAGAAGGACACATATCCATCTTGTCACTGCTACTTTCCCAGGGCCATGTAGCTAGTGTCCTACAAACACCACTGAGGAATAGGCACATGCACTATGTAATCTTAAGGCCCCCATCCTAGATGTGCTGTCACATCCCTCAATGTTTGGAGGGTATTTTTAGTCACAGAAGATTGGGGTCACAATTGCAACCCAGGAGATGAGAGCACTTATTCCTGAATGTTCCTGGTTGGTCACTTTCAGTCTCAATGGAGTCTGCAGCTGGTGCCTCTGCCCCACTCAGCTGTTCCAGCCTCACTTGCTCCTGTCCCTGAGTGACCTGCTCCCAGTTCCAGCCAAGGAACCTGACACTTTCCAGTGTGGAGTACAATATAATTAAAAACCCCTAGGACACACATGCCACAGTAGGCTATTTGTATCATTGAAAGCTCTAAAGATTTGCCATCCCTGCCCTACTGTCTTCCTGTCTTCTCGGCCTCAAAGACTATCCCTGTGCGGGGTGATAGAGAGCCGGGAAGCTGGTGAACAACAGTCCATGCTCTGTCCCGTGTACTTGGGGGGAAGTGATGCATCATGTATTTTCATGGCCATGTCAATAGTCAGTGAGCAAAGGGACCTGGGCAGTGTGGTGCAGCACAGTCTTCCTCCGGCTCTGCCAGCTTTAAATAAGTTTTATTACACTATAGTTCTAATAGTTCTAATTTGAGTATTCTTGCTAATCTCTTACTATGCTTAATTTAAAAATGAAAGTTTACCAGAACTATATATGTATAGGAAAAATCATAATATACAGGGTTTGGTACTACTCAAGGTTTCAGATATCCACTAGAGGGGATCCACTGGATGGATATTTACTGTAGTAGAAATTAAAAGTGAAAAATCTTCAAGGCATGAGAGCATACACGCACACACGTGCACACACACACACACACACTAGCCCTATTTGTCATGTGCTATAGTTTGGGTCTAGACTGTCTCCCCAAGGCACTTGTGTTAAAGGGTTGTCCTCAGTTCAGCACTATTAAAAGGTGATGGAAACCCTTTAGGAAGTGAGGCCTGAAGGGAAGTCTTAGGTCATGGAGGTATGGAGGTGTGCCCTCAAAGGGAATTGTCGGAGACCCTCTCCCTCTCTCTCTCTCTCTCTCTCTCTCTCTCTCTCTCTCTCTCTCTCTCCCTTCCCTAGATGCCACAAGGTGGGCAGCCTTGCTCCACTAAGTGTTCCTGCTATGATGCGCTGTGTTGCCACAGGCCCACTCACCTTTCCTCTAGGCTATCTCAAGCATCTTGTTATAGTAGCACAAAGCTAGCTAACACATGATCCGAGCAAAGACACCATCATATGTCGTAGGATCTCTGCAAAATTCCACAGTGTGCTCACAAGATAATGGCCAATATGGAAAGATAATGGATAATACGTCTTCAAATCATGGAAATACCCTTGACCTGGCTGACCTTAGGCCTTTCCTTGAGGACTGCTGATCTAATGACCTGAAATATACTGTTATTCTTCTGTCAATCAAATGGCTTCAGATTTCATTAAAGAAAAAGCAGACGGAGATGACATTACTGTAATCTCAAGAGGCCTCATCATACTCTCAACTTTCTTTTTGACCTTCAGAACCATGGGGACTCCATGGCTATGGCTGCCTATTTGTTCCCATGTGCCCTGTTTGTTGTTGCCAACAGGGCCTTCCAGACGGCCTCAGACCATCCTCTCACCTGCCCCCTTCCAGCCAGGCCAGCTCTGGAGTCAACATTCAAGGTACACACAGTCCTTGTGAGAGCTAAGCATGACTGAGAAAACAACTTCTGGAGCACCTGGGAAGCTGATGTCCCATGGATGCCTTTCTTCTGACCCAGAGAACTCAAGAGTACTTTTTTGCCCAGCAGAATCTACTGGTCAAGCATCCTAAGCAAGGGGCCAGGAGTTGGGGAGAGGAAAACAAAATGGACCAACCAGGCAGCATTAGCAAGCAGAGGGCTGAGTGGTCTCCACACATGGGGCTTTCAAGATCCAGCATGCCTGGGAGTCTAGGGCATAGAGAATCAGATTCTATGCTCAGTATCTCCTAGCACCCGAGACAATGAAGGACCAGAGGATGACCTGTGTACCCTACATGTTCCAAAATGCTTTGCATAACACTACCTTTTAAACTAAATAGCAGCTTTTCCAAGATTTTAGCATTCCAAAAGTTCTGATTACCCCACCACCATATCCCTGCTCCATCGCCCACTTGTAGGATAAACCACAATGATGTATCATTGCCATCCAATGTAACACTGGTTTGTGCAAATACTGTGCAGAACGAAGGGTTTATACTCAGGGTCCACTTGCTTCATAGTCTCTTAGAATGCCAGGCAAGATGCCCTAACGGCAAGGCAGAGATAGCTCAGAGATAGCAGAACCCCACTAAGACGAGACTGCAGAGAGAGCTGGCACCTCTCTCCCAACACTTTCTTTCTAAACTTCATCTCCCACTTCCTAGTGCTACAAAATGGTTTGTTCTGGGACCTTCTAACATTTTTGGAAAAATAATGCATCCTCACACATTTTTAGATTAACATATATAATTTCTATTGAAATTTTAAATAATTAAAAAGGATATAAATTCTGGCACACTGACATACTCAATTAAATGTATTGAAAACTCCCCCTCATCTATTCGAAAAGCACACAAACAGGCTCTTTTTAACAGCCAAAAAATTTCCATCATTTTTTCTTCTTGAACTCATATTTCCATGCTATATTACCCATAGAATTTTATCTTAATATAAATACTTTTAAGATTGATAATCTTTTGCTGATCATTACATCACAATTCTCAGCAACAAAGTATATACTTCAATTAAAATTTTACATATTTTAATTTTACTAGATTCAATATTTATTATTATTATTAATATAAAATTGAAGAAGTTAAGATTTCCTGTCATAAAAACCTACATGTTAATAAATATTCTGGATGATTTATCATTAAAATTATTATAAGTGTATAACTGGATGAATTAAAATTATAATATAAAAATTTAAATAATCATTAAACATATAAAAGGAAATCAGCCTTCTTCAAAAGATTAGTTGATGTATCATGAATGAATATTGCTCACCCCTGGAATAAAACAACTTTGGGGAGGAGGTTACTGGGGATTGGATCCAGAGCCTTGAGCATGTTAGGCAAATACTCTAACACTGGACCACATCTCCAGGTCTTTTTCTTTTATTTGGAGACAAAGTCTCGCTAGGTTATCCTGACTGGTCTCAAACTTGTGATCCTCTCGCCTTAGCCTCCTGCATATCTGGGATTATAGGCAAGCACCACTGTGCCTGGTTTAGTGTGGTTTTTTGTTTGTTTGTTTGTTCGTTTTTTGAAACGGGGTCTCACTATATAGTTCAGGCTGGCTTTAAACTCACTATGTAGCTCAGACTGGTCTTGAACTTGCAGTGATCCTCCTGCCTTAGGCTCTCAAGTGCTGGCACTATAGGCATGCACCACCATGGCCTGCTCAGGTTTAGGATAAGACAATATTTTGTGAAAATTATCAGCAGAGCTCAGAGAAGCTATTGGGCCACTAAATCTGCAGAATCATTGAAGCAAACAGACTATACCTAAATTTAAAACAACATGTAATAATCACTTGGCAAAAGTTCAAAGAAATATTTTCCCTGTAGTTTGATTAAATGCTTACAAAAGCACTCCCAATTTGAAACTAGTCTTAATCTTTAACCTCTTCCTACTTGAAATCAGTGTCAAATACTTGAGACCTGGGCATTAGTATTTCCAATTAACCATTTATTTGTTTGAGAATCTGAAGAGTTTTTCTCTGGTAGACTTTCTTTTTGAAATCTTTCAGGCCTATTGCAAAATGAAAGATGGAGAATGAAAAGGAACATGATACCCAAGATGTGTCCACAGGGTGACTGGTTTTAGGGAAGGGCACATATGGAAACTAAGATCTGGAATTTGATTATTTTCAAATTAACTACTCTAATATCCATTTCCTTCAAGCTCAAGATGTAAAGCCCAAATCTTAACAAGACAAGTAGAATGGTCTTCTTCCAAGTCCTCATTTATTCTCCTTCCTTTCTCTCCATGCTCGGTCTTCCAGGCACAATGCTCCTTCTCTGGGAGCTCATTCCTGAGTTTCAGATTGCTGCATAATAAGATGTCCATGCTAAAATTCTAAGTCTCGATAAGTCATTTACGAATGAGAAGAAGGCAACTTCTAAAGGCCTTGCCTCTTGCTTGTGGAGTAGGTGAGGATACTCCTATTCACTTACCTCCAGCATCCTTCCTATTTTTTTTTCTCATCTCAAATCTTTTCAATATCTCAAGGTTGCTACGCATAATCAGGTGTAAATGCTTAAATTGCCAACTAGAAAAGTCTCCCAATACAACTTCATTTTTCTAGGCAAAGTAAACCTGGGTCCATAGATCAGAAGACTCTCCAATGCCCAGTTTCTAGAGGGAAAGATAAAGGAACAAAAACGGGGTTTCTTAGGAGTGGTCATGATGATGCTACAGGCCTCAATAGGTGAGCAGTTTAGGTATTTAGGGTTAAGAAATCCTTCTGGTGTTGACCTGCACCCCTTACATTCACTTCTCAATTGTTTCTTCTACTTAAGCATTGTCAGAGCAGAGCAGAAGTAGTAGATTTTAAAAGGGAAAAGGAGGAAGGTAAAATGATTCCTGTCTTCCATTCTATTTCCCATGACAAAGGAACCACCCTACACAATATCTCTAAGCAAGATACTATTTCCCTGACATTTTCATAGCTTTTTGTTCAAACTTCTCCTATCCCATTTCCCCACACTGCTTCCTTCCTCCCTCCCAGTGCAGGAATTTTTAGGTTAAGGGACCTCTTCCATGGGCAAGCTGAGAAGAGAAACACACAACTACCTGGATCCCCTGAGGTTACCTTGACTCAGGAATCCAGGGGTTCCTCCTTCTTCAGGTCTTAGCCTGACAATTCAAGAAGTGTCAAGACCTTTCTGGAAGTGGAGCCAATTGACCCATTTGATCTGGGATGAGTGATCTGTTGAATAATTCCACAGCTGTGAAAGAATGCATTCATTTATAATTGTATCAAGTTGTAGTTTATAGCACACTTAATAAGGTAATTAACTATATTATAGCATATTATTGCTTAACAGAATCTTTAATGACTTCTGTGGACTAACAAGACATGTACTGAGTGTGATGTCAGTATTACTGTCTTCATTTTACACATGAAAAATGCGAAATTTGCCCAAATTAACAGCCTACTAATTGAAAAGTATTATGGTTTAGATCAAAAATGACCCCCAAACTCACGCAATCAGAGGTAGAGCTTTTGGAAAGTGATTGTATTGTGGAGGCACTGTAGCTAACCTGTTGTTAGGAGGTGGGCCTGGTTAGAGGTGGATCCTTGAGGATGTGACTTGGAAGTGTTTATCTTCCTTTTCTCTGTTTCCTGGCAGCCATTGCATGAGCAGCTTTTCATCTACCATGCCCTTCTGCCATGCTATTTTTGCATTGGAACTAGCTGATTATGGCCTGAAACCTCTAAAAACCATGAGCCCAAATAAACCTCTCCTCCTTTAAGCTACAGGTACTGTGTTAGATACTGTATCTTAGCAACAAGGAAAGTGACTAAAACAAAACGTGGCCCTAGGGCAAAGCCCAAGTGTCCTTTGACCCATTCAGGTTGAGTGTGCTTGATCAATCCAGGGCAAGACTTCCTTTTGCTGGAGTTTCTTCTACTTTTCTAACAATTGAAGGAACATTGAAATGATACATACTAACATTTATATTTGAATTTTCTACCTACAAGACTGAAAACTCCTTAGGAGCAGAATCCTGCTCCAATCTGATTCATCTTTAGATCCACCATAATTTCTTTGTGCTGCATAAGTAGCATGAACTTAGTATATATTACACATTTGTGAATAATGTACAATTATCCCCTTTTTAAATAAAAGGCATATGACACCTTGATTGCTGGGCATTATTCCCCAATATTTGACATATTTAATGTGTTCTGACATACAATTTCAAGCTACATGTAACAGCTTTCAGGAATATTCTCTGATTACTCTGGGCTAACTATAAAGCAAATCTATGGATATCAAAAGAAAAGAACAAAGCAAAAATCATGTCATATTACTACATCTCTAGTGCTCATACCTTAGAGTCATACCATTTGTTTATCAAGTAGGAAAACAAAAACTAATAGTGTAAATAAACACTTGATTTTTTTTGAATAAATTACATTCACTGAATAAAATTTTGGATTCCTGACAAACAGGATATCTGAGAGAATCAGAGATTACTAAATTAAGAAAATGTGGAAAGCTACATTGGTAAGGAATGTGGGCCATTGAAAAAATGTAGGGTACAATGACTGCTTTTCTTTCTTTTTTTTTTTTTTCCATTCCTCACAGCACATTTATTTCAGTAATTCCATTATGTCGGTTCTTAGCATGAGCATAGTGTTACACAATTTTCTTACATATAATCACATCCAAAACAAGTTCTAAAATTTAAATTGTAAACATTCTCATCATATGTAGAAATATTTTAATTGGTGTATTAAGTTTTGCTAACTGATAAATGTGGAATATAATATAAATGAGAAAGCCTATTCTAAATTGTGCAGTATCTTTTATTAATTACATTTCTACAATATTAAATAAAGTAAGAGGCAAACCTGTCCTGTAAGGATGTCAAATTTTAGGTAAAACATTAAAAAGAAACAAATCTGTTAACAAAAGGATGTCTTGCAATAAAGAACATTAGATTTTTAAAATCTATTATGATACAAAAATGTAAAGGGTAAATAGCATCTTTGTTGACAAAGTAGGAGGTAGCATGGATGCACTGCTTTATTGCCTGAGAAATGCAATTGGAGTAAAGAATATTTCCTTACCACAAATAATTTCCAGGACTATGTACATATTTCTTTTAGAAATACTTGTTTAAACAAATCCCCCTCCACTTTTTAGTATAAAAAAAACCGTTCCATGTGATTTTAGAAAAACACTTACACATCTAGATAGAATATTACTCTGCCCTATTTGAGTGAACAGTCTCAAACTATGAAGTACATGATATTTAATGCCCTAAGTTGAGTAATTTAGTTAGCAATTCCTGGTATTATACAAAACACTAAATACATACAAACAAAATATATAATATTTTATTTTTCTATGCAAGTCTTATGGGGAATAAACAGAGCCTTGATTCTGGTACAATGCCTGCTTTTCATAAATTTGAAATCTTTTTTGGTCAACTAAAAATGCACAATGATAATTAACAAGACCCATTTTGGTGTCTCAAATCAAATAAGTGTTCCACTAGGTCCTGGTAAGAAAGGATTGCAGATGGTATTGAGATGTGTACTGAGCTTTGAAAAAAATGTTTAGAATTTAGGGAAGGGGAAAAAAGCATATTAAAGAGGGCTTAAATTTAAGTATCTGGGAAGGAATCTAGGAAGAGGGAGAACCTGACTTCACACAGATGCCATTTTCCCACTGCCACACACCCATCCCTTTGCCCCTGTGTGAGTCTTGGCTCTCCTCTCACCTTTACTCGTTATGCTAAATTTTACCATTTTTCTTCCTGTTGCTATTCTTTCTCAGCCTAATGGGAGACAGAAATTAGCTGTCCATGGCAGAGACTTCTGGTCAACATGCTCTTTTTTGTTCTTTCTTAGAAATAAAACTAAATGCTGATCATTAGGGTATAAACAGAAGTGGTGTGCATTTTCTGTAAAATGTCTATAAGGGGAAGTGGCTTATTTCATCCCCACCAAAATCTCCTTTCTGCTAACTAGAATGCATAGCATAAGGTCAAAGGTAGTTGCTGCTGAGAATAATAGAGCTCTTAGATTTACAAAGCAGTAATCTGACAACAGGAGTGCCTGAGAAGGCCTGGACTATCTTCAGACTTCTTTTATGTGAAATAGAGAAAAGCTACTGTTAATTTTTTTCTTTTACAGCTGGATTTAATGATAATTTTACACTCTAGTTCTGGAACCAAATTCACAAAAGGAAAATTAGTTTTGGTAAATTTACAGTAGATTATTGAGGTCCCCTATTATAATTGTGTTAGTGCTTATTTGATTATTGATGTTTGTTAATAGTTGTTTTATATAGTTCAGTGTGCCAATATTTGGTGCATATACATTTATGATTGTTATCTCTTCCTCATAGAATTTTCTCTTAACAATTATGTAGTGACCTTCTTTGTCCCTCTTGATCAATCTCAGCTTGAAGTTCATTTTGTCTGCAAATAGAATAGCTATCCCTGCTTTTATCTGGATTCCTGTTGCATGAAGTATTGTTTTCCATCCTTTGACTTTCAGTCTATGAATTTCTTTTTGAGTTAAATGTGTTTCTTATATGCAGCATATTGTTGGATCTTGTTTCTTGATTCATTCTGCCAATCTGTTTCTTTTGCTTGGTGAATTGAATTTACATTGATGGTTATAACTGATATGTATTGGCTTATCCTTGTCCAATTATTTTCCTGTTGGTTCCCTGTCTTTCTCCTCTATTTAATTGCTTGCCTTGCCTTGTCTTTCTATTCATGCTCTTGGAATTGTTAGTCTTTGTTATCTTTTTCTAAAATATCCTTCAGAATATTTTGGAGAGCTGGTTTGTTGGTCATGAATTTCTTCAGTTGTTTTTTGTCATGGAAGTAACTTATTACAAAAGGAAAAATGATTATGCTACTTAGAAATTTTAAAAATGCAAATAAAAACCACTGCAAATAAAAACTATTTTATGTGCTAAATTCCAAAAGGAAATAAAAATCTGATAAAACTCAATGACAATAAAGCTGAAAAACTGGATGGATGGTAATGTTATAAATTCATGTATTAGTTGATGTAAGTCTTGTATAAAACACTGGCCATTTACTTCAATTGCCTCAAATACATTTCTGCTGATACCAGAAATCTAATTCACAGATTATGAAATATATCATAATTGATAAACTCAAATATAAAAATTTATAAAGATGTAATAGTAAGGTTATTCTAACGGCAGAAAACCAAAACTACTTAAATGTGGCACTATAGGGGAATGATAAATGGTGACCTATTAAACTGATGGGAAATTATGAACTGATTTAAATAATACATGAAAAATACTGTGAAATAACTTGCAAAGATATTCATAAAATAATGTTAAATGTAAAAGCATTTCAGAAAGCTGAATCCAGATTGGGATCATAGCTGTCAAATTCTGACAGTTTTCCCAACCCCCTAATCTCATTTTATCCATCCACACATCAGTGACAATTGATTGTCCTAGGTTAGTTCATTCCTAGTCCATTAATATGTTATTGCTCTTGCAGAAACATTCTCTTGGTATTTCTTTGCTTTTTCTTTTCCTTTCTTTCTTTTCTTTTGAACCTTACTGGTTCTTAAATTTGAAGTTCTGAGTTTCAGAAGGTGGTTCCTATTAGAACATCTCAGGTAGCCCAAAGGGTGTCTAAAAATCTTAAGGTCTTTCAAGATCACACATGCCCAAAAAACAGAGAAATCAGTGTCAGAAAGAATTACACATGTGACTTGGAAGCATGTGGTGGCTTGAGTGAAAATAATAGAAGATCCACATTTTAAAGAGAGTCTTATTGAAAAAAATACCTAGGCAGCATGGTATTAAAAGATCTGAGGTTTCACAATGAAAAATAGCCTTTGGGGTCCTGATTTTGATGATGATGATGATGATGATGATGATGATGATGATGATGATTTTGAGAAGTAGACTCAGAGATCTATTCAGCTACTAACATGAGCTATTTCTTATAGAAGAGGAAACCTGTCTCAGGCAACCTCTTTAGATGGCAAAGCCAAAAGTGGAGTGAGAGAGCTCATAGTGATAGAAAACAGTGGACTGAGGAGCCACCCCAGTGAACAGAGCTATACCTGAGTAGGGAACCTGGCAGCATGTGCCCAGCAGGACTACAGAATTCTTATGAATGCCTAACTGCTGACTGTGCCTTCCTTTAATTGCCTCTTAAAGTAGAAGTATTTATTAATATTCTCCTGTCCCTGACTCACATTGTT